AAAATATGCATTATTTATGAAGGATGCAAAATAGGTCATTTTGGGACATTTTCAGGCAAAAACCATGGAATAAGGTGATTAAAATGGAAGTGCGTATAAATTTTGTTAGACCGAATACATTATTTTGATTTCATAGTTTGATTTGATTGAGTGTGTTTGATTTTGAATGTTTAAAAGCAGTATAATTAATATACATTATTATAATTATAGGTAGTATCATTATAGTACACGTTTGTAGCTTGCTGTTAAGGTACACGAATGGTTTGATCCTTTTATATTAAATCCTGTTCAGGTCTATCGCAGATGACAAACTGTCAGTCCTTATGTTTTTTAATGTGATTAGTTATTCGATAACCTTTTGCAGTTGAAACACTAAATTATCTGTTCTCGAGCTGTAGMAGTTTTCTGATTTAACTATGATACTCGTCATGAAGGCATAAAAAGGATTCTTAGTAAGGAAGAGCGCACAAAAACGTGTACGCCATGTTCATCGCCTTCGCATGTCGTTGGCATATCTAATGATTTAATTCGTCTTCGTGTAATTTTCCCATGTCAGACCACATGTCATTCCCTAGAGAATAAGATTCTTTGTTTGAGTTATATTCATAATCATGTGTCTTCTCRAGCGCAACCGCTAAACAAAGATACGATACTCTAGGGAATGACATGTGCTCTAGGGAAAGACAYATGGTCTTATGGGAAAATATTGCAAGACATATTAGGTCTATTCTCGATAGTGAAGACTAAGATCTAAAATAAATGGTCCACCTCAGTTTTTCTGGGTGAAGCCTTTGTTYATGATATTATTACAAATAGAAATCGGTTAGTTTAAAAATCTCGAACCGCTTTTTTAGTTCAACCGTTGCTGATAAGTGCCTGCCCAATTTACATCAAAAATGGAAAGGTGTCCCCTGTTGCTAAGCATACTTAAAACTGAATGTCTCCCTGTCTTGTTTCTCAAATATCAATCAATGCTGGTCTAAYGTGTGGAATATCTTTCGAACAGCTCTGGCGTTATCCATACAGTAGAGTAACTTCATGCAAGCATTCACGACAAACCCAGGAGCGATAACCTCTACACCACTATAGTCTCTCTTATTGATCCCAATCCCATATGATGGATCATGAATGAAGTCTAAGTTCCCAGATTTGAAGGGACAGTCAAAGTGATCATTATCAAAATAGGTTTGCACTACACCTGTGTTGACTTTCAGTATCTTAGCCGTGGCAAGTTTCGGAATGTAACGAGCTACACCTTGTAGAATTCTTTCTCCCAAGGATTGTTTCTCATCGCTTGTCAATCGGTGAAGATGTTCGTTCACTTCTGGTGACAYATCGTCTGAGGTACACATTGCCAAGTTGGTTTCTGGTGCAAACGTTACCATACCAATACCTTTGCCTTTGTTACATAACATACCATATGATCCAGCACAGAAAAACATGGAATGACAATTCTCCATTCCTGGCGGTAATTGAATGGTTGCGATCGCTTTGACTCTGTTCAGGCGGGGATTTGCCTTCAACCCACACGTCTTGTTCAATTTACCAATATTATACCAAGCCGAATTAACCACTCGTGAAGTGAATAGTTTCAGTCTGGAGTCAGGGTTTCTTCCGTTCCGAATGCAACAAGATACGTCGTACACGTTTTCATCCATCCTCTGTATTTCTTCAACCTCAGTACACAGGTGAACCTTGATCTTGTTCGTGCGCTGCCGTTTTTTAACCTCTTGTTGTAAGTACTCTCTAAATCGCTTCCAGTCAAGAAGCTCTTCTGCTGTCTCTAAGCCATACGCAACGATTCCTGGATCAACGTCGTCAGCGTACTCAGTCTCGTCCAGCACACGATACAGATCGTCTGGGGAACCAAAAACCTCATTRYTAGGGTCCCTCRCCACCATATTGGCATATTCGTCTTTGATTCCTTCGTATATTTTCAGAATTGCCTGAGGATCGATTTGTGACGTCTTGAGAATAAAGTACCTTCCTCGTCTGAGCGGATGTCGTAATGGCTTATCCACGGCATCTCTGAACTTGCCGAATTGTTTAACAAAACRAACCGATGCATGTAGATAGTAACATGCAGTTGCTAGATCTGYGTTATGGAATCCTAGATGTATTCTGCCCGGGGTAACGTCGCTGCTACATATCATCAACTTTGGCTCTCTTTCAATGATTATTATATCATAGCCAGCATCGGCCATCTCAAGTGCTGTACAGCACCCACCTACGCCCCCTCCAATGATGATACATTGGTAAGGGGACACCATCTGGGACGACTGAAGAKATATCTGCAGGAAATGAATCACGAGGAGCTCAATATATTTAGATAAAAATGAAAATTTAATCTAGGGAAATGAGCTTTTTTTT